GTTCATTTCCTTCATAGAGTTGTTTATATTCCTCAAATTGAAACCTTTAAAAGTACGCTTAATTGTTGATGATTACAGCTTAGAAACACAGTTTTCACACGATCAGCAAAACCGTTCATTTTCTTTAAAAAGAACTAAAGATTCCCCCCTATTTTTATTATGAAATTAAAAAATTAGCACTTTCCTCGGGAGTTACTTTCAAAAGTTGTTTATATTCCTCACATTTGAAACAAGTTAATCTAGCAAGCAGAAAATTTGGCTCCGCAGCACGAGGGAAAGTTTAAAATCAGAAATATCCTGCAGTGAAAATTAAATTCAATACTTTGTTAGCAGAATCTTACCCAGAGGAAATCCGGAGGTCCTACATCAATTTCCCTTCCGGTGTAGTGTTCAACGGTCTTTATATCTCCTCGCACACCTGCATCATTTAGCGTACTGTGCTTCTGAAGAAGTTGAAAATAACAACTCTAGAGAAAAGTAATACTGCCCAAAACAAATCAACATAAATATTCCAGATACGTAAGCACGACAACAAACAAAAGTATACTCAAACAGAAAACGGAAACTGATTCAAACAGTAAAACCTTCATAATCAAAATCATAAACTGTAAAGAGATACAGAACAAAAAGAACCGAAAATTTAAAAGCAATAAAGAAATCAATTATTAAAACAGGTTTAGATATCTCCTTTTGTGGTTGGCTGGCATAACCGTCAAGACAAGCCACGTGAAGCTCGCAAAAAATAATTTCTTATAGAAATTTATTTCACAACTGGAGGTAAGAGCAGTTTAAATATTCGTTTTCAAGTTTCAAACTGTTATCGATGAAGCATTGATACAAATAGAAGTGAACAGGTGCAAAAAAATGTCACTATTATGTTACACCGTGACAAATACTTCAATCTTATTACGAAGGGAAAGAAAATTGTGGGAAAAGGTGACCAAGTATGCATACTAGTAGTCATCGCAGGCTTTCTAAAACACATCGTAAACACCGAGCAAAAATTCAAAGCTTTTCCAAATTCACAAATAACCGCTGTTAATAGCACGCTTATCAGCATACTTTGCTCCGTGGTATCAACTCCCTTTTCTATTACTTTAAACAAAGTTACTGCTGTACTCACAAACAAATGCTTTTTTTTAGTGTCTTTGTGACTGAAGAGTGTTTGTCACAGAACTGTAAA